ATGATCTTCTGTGTTTCTGCATAAGGAAGTATTTTGGCTCTTTCATTTGAAAAGTATCAAAACTAGCAAAGCACAGGATGTTAGCGAGTCCAGTTTCAAACTAACTCTTCTGTTAATTTCACCAATGACTATAGAGAGAAAAGCATGCTGTTTCACAGCTCAGAGATTTTGTTCTCATCATTTTCTTTTTATGTGTCAAATCATAATGGCACTGCTGCAGCTCCTCCGACTCACACAATCACAAAGGATTAGTGCTCATTTTCCATGAACACAAAACCCCTGAAAAGGGAAGAAGGTAGCATGTTCTTTGAGAGTGTAGGGCACAAAGGTAATTGTTACCAAATGGAGAAGAATAAGCAAGGCAGGGTTGCTAACCCCTTGGTAAAGTTGGGTCTGCTCAATGCTAGTAACTGCAGACAATGAGCAACAAAGATCAATTCCATAGATCCAGTGTGTGTTTGTGTCAATATGTGCATTTATGTGTAACATTTTTCAGCATAATTCCCATTCACACCATTCTATCCTATTTTCAAGACTTGGGTCAGAATATACTTCCACCTGAATTGCTCAATTAGAGAATACCATCACTGTATGAGCAAGAATAATAATGTCCGGTAATGTTCCTCTGCATCTATATGAACAAGTATTTGATTCCCAAGAAGATGGTTTCGTCTTAAATGAATTTGGTTAAAAAGGAGGGCAGGCTGCCTTTAAAACATAAGGGAATGGTTAGTTTTACTGGGGTGCCCCCTAGTGCCAGGTGAGAGTAGGTTAGTTTCTGTATTGCCAGTCTTGAGATCCCATGCAAGAATGAAAATGTGGAGAATCATCAGGGTCATAACTGCCCCATTTGGCATAAAATAGAATAAATCAAGTTTCCCAGAATGATTTGCAAGCTCCTTTGCCATCCAGGCCTGCCTAAATCTTCAGCTTCATCTCCTACCTCCATTCTCTATGAATATTCAATGTCAGCCATGTTGAATGACTTATTGTTGTGCCCGCCCTCCCCCATCCCTCCTATCTGTGTAGGAAATCCCACGCTTTCCTCTAACATCAGTTGAATTATGTTATCTCTTCCCTCAGTTCTCCTGACTTCCCACACACATACCCAGACGTCTTAGGCAACCTCTTCTCCCTCCACCCCTCTTCCTGTTGTCCCTTGAGCAAGTCTCCATGTGTCTGTCACCTTTTTGCCTCACTTCAAATCTTGACCATTAATCCAAAGATTTTAAGATTAAAAACAAGTAACCATATCCAGTGCAATTTTTTATTATTATTATAAAACTTCAAACATCACCCTATACAAAAAAAATCACTCAAAAGGAATGTAAGGATAAAAAGAATTCTAATACAGGAGTCAAAATTGTCTAGTTAATTAAGTATATAGGTGATGAGCAATTTACCTGCCTTCTTTAGATTTTTATTTTTTAATAAAAGACTGTGGCTAATATCTATGCCAAAACCCAGGGTCTTTGGAACATTTCATTAATACCCACCATCAGAGCCTCAAAATGTTTTATGATGAATTAGTTCAACACTCCAGCTGTTCTTTTCTTAATTCTCAAGGAGTTGCTCAGAAAAAGCAAATTCTACTTGAATTTTAAGTTATTTTATGCATATGGTTGAATAATTTCTAAGAAAAAGATACATGTAGACATTTAAATTAAGCTAATTCTAGACAAAATGTTAAGGCAAATTCCTCTTTCCGGTACTTAAAAATACAAAATTAAATTGTTGAAGTTAGGATATGAGACATCACCAAGAAACTGAGTTCTAATTCTGGCTCTCCTTGACACAAACCACTTCTGCTTTTCCCAGAAGAAATAAGCAACAAGAAGGTGGGATTTGCTAAGGAAAAAGTCCTCAGCTCTAAAAAAGGTCATGATAAAGGTGACACAGAACTTGGAAGACTTCAACAGCCCTGGAACACACAAATATAATTCACAACGCTTCTCACAGATTTTGATGAAGTATTTGCCTAGGAAATATGAGAACCTAAATTTAATCCCCAGAACTCACATAAAAATGCCAAGCATAATAGTGTGTGCTTGTAATCCCAGTGCAGGGAAGGCAGAGACAGGAGGATCTCTGGGTCACCAGATAGTCTGGCCTAATTGGTGCACTCCAGACCTATGAGAAATGTTGTTAGAAAGTGGGAGGCATTTCAGAGTATGACGTTTGGGTTCATTCCCTGTCCTCCACATGTAATTGCCCATACACACACAGCCATGTACACAAAAGCATACATCCACACATAAACATGAATACATACATATACACATACACACCCACAAACACCACATTAAAAATAATAAAAATAAAAGGCTTCTCGCCTATTAGACCAGCTCTTTTTCTACCATTGCTTCCTAGCTACAGTTTCCAGGTAAGACTGAAGCCCAGCACATTAAATGGCTTCCCAAGGTAAGCCCAGTGTGCAGAGTAAGCAACCATAGCACTCGGCTCTATAACTCAAGTCACTGATATTCCGGAGTCTTCGTGTCTTTCCTCGTTCTAAAGGAGGTATTTTATGAACTCAGAATAGCTTGTTAAAATAACTACAGAGAGCATAGATTAAGTATAGAAAGTATATGCAGGAAAATAGGATTCCTTCCAGGCTAGTCTGAAGAGCCAAACACTCTACATTTAGGCACAAAAGTCTGAAAACACAGCTTTTCTGCTCCTGCAACCCTCCGGCCAGTTCTTTGAGATGATGTGCTCATTAGCTGCTGAGCTGAAAGGGACTTCAGTGTCCATCTCATACACCCATCTCCCATTACCAACAAGAAAACCAAGACCCAAAGGAGAACGTGAACTGTATATGAGTGAGAGCTGCCTTTTTATTGGGGGGGGGTGCATTCCAAAGACAAAAACTGCTTTTCAAATATGTGAATGAAATTTGACCCAGTAGTTATTATTACCAAATAAACTTCAAAGGAAAGTTTAGGAGCTGTAACTTGAAGAGTCTTGAAGGTAGGAAATTAGGGATAAAAAGTAAAGCAAAGAAATGGAGGAGAGGGAGGGGAAAAACAGAAGTTTTTATGTTTCAAAATACAGAACAGAAAACCCCAGTTTTCCTGGGCACAGAATAAGCTTTGCCATTCAGTTTCCCCTGACACATCACTAAAGCATATGTGTCCCAGGAGAGGTTTAATTTCATCATCCCTCACCACCTGGTCCACCCGACACCGCACCAAACATGAGTGCTTTAACGTGTCACCAGCCCCTTTGTCAAAGACATTATCTTCCCCCCTCTCATCTCTCCTCTGTCAACACAATTCAACCAAGTTCCAGGGAAAAATTTATTCCACCTATCTATGCTTTCCTCTCCTTAATAAGTGAGGCTAAATAGAATGATCCATAGCATTGCCCAGGTTCTAGAACAGTGTAAAAAAATTCTAGATAGCTAAGCCCCAGAACCTATCAAGAGCAATCAGGTTGCTTATTTCATGAGTAAACAGCTTCAATATCCAGTGTACCTCTCCTACTTTTTACTCCATTTCTGAGCCAAAACCACAGGAAACAAATTCCCTCCTAGGTTGCAGCTCACCCCAAGGACCTGGAGATGCAGCTTTGGCTGGATTCCCCCCAACCTTTATGACAGAGTTGCTGAGTACTTGAAGACAGGACTTCTATTCTTACTGTGACGTGGGTGAGACTGTCCACAGAGGCCCCAGACACCAGCAGCTTTTGCCTGTGTTTCACTTTTTGCTCTCTCCTGCCCTTGCACGGTGCTTTTGTGTGCCTAGTTACCCTTGACTGGGGTCGTGTATCCTGTCTTCATCATCCCACAGAGTAAGGAAACACACAGCCCTGTGGTTTGAAAAGGCTCAAGACTCCCTGACCTATTCAATGTACTCAGCTAGTCTATTTTTGGTTACTCTGCTTTCTTCTCAGAAGAACCTAATTCCGGTCTGCATCCTACCACTGACACCATACTCTACCCTGGCACCTTCTCCCCTAGTGCCTCCTTGTCATCCAGAGTGCTGCACAGACTCGCACGTGGAGTGGAGGGAAGAGGACCAGTATGGTGGTGTTCTATTTGGCCAAGCAGGCTTGAGCACCTCACCAGCTACATTACTGGAGTTTGTAGACACAAGCGACAAGCACCCTACATGGTTCAGTAGTCATGAACACATACACTCCAACTAGCTTCTATATACCGAAAACCCCACTTCCTGTAAACAGAGACAAGCCCAGGCATTTGCCTGGACAGTTCATCATATCCTGGTTTATTCTGAGGTAGCTGTGTCTCTGACAGACCCACTAAAAAAAATAAGTCTGTCATCCACCAGGGAAAGACTTCTTGACATAAAGCAACCACTGAGGAAATGAAAATCAGAGGCCAGATCCAACAGGGGATTCAGGGGAGTTACACAGAATTACCTTCTACAATAAAGAACTTAAAAAAACTGGGGTTTTAAAGTGGTTGTCAAAAAAAGACTATGAAATAAAGTTATTGATGCAAATGTGTGAGCTTGCTTGCCAATAAATGTACACACACATGTTGCAGCCCTTCAGATACAAGGCCAGTAATGGGGAAAGGACTTAATATTGACACCTTCAGTATTACAAAAAAAGAAAAAGTAAAAGAAAAAAACAATTTCATAAGTATCTGCAGGTACATATGATAGAATCTGTTACTTATCTCTTTTTTTTAAATATGGATTTCTTGATTAGACAGTTGCTACCAGGATGGTTAGATACATCAGTGACCCAAGGCTTCAGGGTGACAGCTCATCAAGACACATTGAGATTCTTGTATTATAAAGAAAATGATAAATAAAATTAATCTGGAAGCAGGGTGTTTCTATCCTTCAGTGTGCCCTACCACTACTGAAATAGGAAGGAAGGGGCACCAAAGGGTGTCTGACCACACGTTACATTCACCTGGTGGCGGTGGCAGGGCCCTCAACAGTTTTAGCATTCAATTATTTCCAGGTGACTGCAGCTGCTGTAACTGCCATTCAGCAAGAGCTTGAGGAAGAGCTGGTGCATCTTACCTGAGCAGGATGGAGGTGCAGGCAGATGTAGACCAGGCACAGGAGCAGCCCCACTCCCTGGATCCCAGAGACCACCATCGACAGCTTCTTCCACTTGAACCTTGGCCTTGATCCATTTTCCAGGTTCTCCTCCAGGGGTTGAACCCCTTCCCGTTCCATCTTCACAGCCTGGGTGCAGAGAAGTTGCAGATGTGGCAAAGGGGAACCCGGGGAAGGCTGGTCCTCACCACAAAGAAGACAAGGGCAAAGCCAAGCCTGTGGGTCAGAAGATAGACAAAGGTCCCAGAACCTGAGACAGCAGGCAATTGAAGGAGTGGGGCAGACTCTCTCAGTTTTAACTGCAGATTTTGCAGGCGGGGGAACTTCTATGTGACTAATCTGAATTTCCCCTTTACTTTCTTTCTTTTTTTTTCCCTCTGGGCTAACAGGGAGTTGTTTTTGTGGCATTCCAGTTATGAATTGAGTGACTTCGAAATGACAAGTCACAAACATGTGCTGTTAAGGTTCTTATTGCACCCATAAAGATAAAGATCATCTTTTTTCTTTTTTCTTCTTTTTTTTTAGCACCTCACTTATCAATCCCTCAAGGTGTCTTAAACCACAGAAGAGATTTGAGGAAAATGTTGCCCTGATACCCTTGTCTCTATTATGCAATTAATCTCAAGGCCCGTTTTACAGATTCAGAAATTAAAGGCATGCAGCTTCTTCTTGACATGCAAAAGAAAAAAGAGAAAAACAGGACAACGGATTCTGCAGATAGGTATAAAGGTGAGGTCTTATAGTTACATAACACATTGCATTAAACCAAATAAATTAGTATTTATTGAGCAACTGCTGTGAGTCAAATGCTGAGTTAAATGACCTTGCAACTATCATATGTATGCATTTCAGCAAAACTCAGTAAACACATAATTGATTTTCCTAACGTCAGAAAAAAAGCAGAAGAAAATCCTGTCCCCCCCACCCCTTCATTCCTTTTTATATTTCCCACACACATAATTGCTGCATGAGTAATTCAAGTAACCTTTGAACATTGCTATTTTCTTTGAAGTGTTGACTGGACTCAGACCCTGCTAAGTAAAAATATCTTCCCAGGGCTGGAGAGATGACCCAGTGGTTAAGAGCACTGGCTGCTCTTCCTGAGGACTGGGGTTCAACAAATTGCTCTAACATGGTGGCTCACACATCATCTCCAATTCTACCTCTAAAGGGTCTAATGCCCTCTTCTGACCTTTGTGGGCACCAGCCATGCAAGTGGTACACATACATGCAGGCAGAACATCCATATATTTAAAAAAATCAAAAACAAGAAGCTTCACAAGTGTATCCTTCCAATAGACATTGATTACACTTTCTCAGCGATGTGAGCAATGAAATTAAATAAATGTGAAATAATAATGTCATGTCCAAAATGGCAAACTATTTATTGAGTGTGTGATATGAAGTCAATAAGATAGCATAGGGATACTCAACATAACTCTCTCTCCTCTCTCTCTTTTATGAGAATGTATGTCTCATGGTTTCTCATGGAGCCTTCAGCAGATATTTAAAGAAAGAAGTAAGAGAAAAATATTCTGAATACTAGAAATATAAGAAAGTACATGGTGCTTCAAATTTTTCACAATTAAAAAAGTCATGGATATGAGGCATAGTCGAGAGAAAAACAAGTTGCAGGAAATGGAAAGTAGTTTGTCACAATATTCAACAATTTAAATAAGTTGATGCCTTCATTTTAATAATGAAGCTTTGCCTTTGAAGAACATACTGGGAGCTAAGGCGTGCATCAGGGTTTTAAAATCAGAAGTAGGACTCAGGTTCCACATAAACTACTCTGCTGCAAAGATTATCTCAGCAAAGTATGAGCAAGGCACGGGGTGTAAAGACAAAAGGTGAAGGAAAAATCAGTATTTAACTCCTGCCTTGCATAATACACAGTAGCTATAGCCAGTAACATTTTACTCATCTGTTTTCAAAAATGACTGAAAAGATGATAGGGAAAAAAACCCTGAACTCTAATAGAAACTAGACACAAGCTGTAGAAAATGCATTCATGTTGAAAATCACAAGGGATAGTCTGGCTAGGTGTGTGTGAATGTGTCTGTGCAGGTATTTGCAGGTGGGGGCCATGTGCATGTGGGGGGTACATGTGCATTGTGGGGGCATGTGCATGTGTGTGGAAGCATGTGTATGTGTGCGGAGGCATATGCATGTGGGGGGCATGTACGTGTAGGGGGACATGTGGGAGGCATGTGTATGTGTATGTACATGTAGTGACTGGAGGTCGATGGACATCAGGTATCTTCTTCAGCTGCTCTCCAACTTAGCTTTTGGGGAAAGGTCTCTGACTGAGCCAGGAGTTTGCATTTTGACTAGATTTGCAAGCATGCAAGTAGCCTCCTGTTTCAACTTCCATAGCTCTGGGACTCTGGGCATGCTCTACTGCAGCCAGCTTTGACGTGGAAGCTAGGGATCAAATTCGGAACCCCAGGTTTGCATGGCAAGTAAGTTACTGACAGAACCATTTCTCCCAAGCCTTGGGAATATTTTAAATGAATGCAGAACGAACAAAAAATAACATCTATGAACACAAACCTGTGTGGCATGCATGTAGCTTCCCTTACCATTAGCATCATGCCCCTCTGAAGAAAAACTAACAAATCCTTTCTTCTTATACACAGTGGGAACTGTAAAGCTGTTTGGTATCTGGGGCCCTGAGACTGCACAGTCATGCTGTAAGTCTCACTCTGACTTCCTCCTGCTTTGCTTTGCCTCATGTGATCTTTATTGAAGTTTAAGTGGTATCTTTTACACGTGTTTCTTCTTTCTTGACCATATTCTCTTGGCTTTTTCACAACCCTTGTGAAAGGAAGAACACACAAAAACGTGCAGACACAGAGAGAGAGAGAGAGAGAGAGAGAGAGAGAGAGAGAGAGAGAGAGAGAGAGAGAGAATTGGAAAACAAACTGGATGATTTTTTGATAGACTGTGTGAGTGTCTCAAAGCCACTATTGGGCTACTCTAGCATCTGAACACCACTGATTGAAAAGCACTGCCAATTACATCATTGGTGGCAGTTTAGTCCTGGGCAGATGGGTGGAGATTTCCATCTTGAAAACGCTTTTTAATAAAAACATATTGAACTGGCCAGGCATTGGTGGCACGCACCTTTAATCCCAGCACTCTGGAGGCAGAGGCAGGTGGATCTCTGTGAATTCGAGGCCATCCTGGTCTACAAAATGAGTTCCAGGACAGCCTCCAAAACAATACAGAGAAACCCTGTCTTGAAAACCCACCAAAAAAAAGTCAAACTGTTTGTAAAGAACTCGAGTGAATTACTAACTCTGTGGGCAGTGTGTTTCAAAACATCTTACACAAATAAATGTGTCTGCCAGAATAAACTAGCTTTGAATGGTAACCTAGAAAGTAAAATAAACCAAAGTGATTACTTCTCACAGGCAGTAACCTTCTATAGGAAGAACCAAAGCTATAGAGACGTATGGAAAATAAAAATACTTCAAAAGATAACAGAACATCTCATGTTCAGAAAGTAGCAAAACTTTTGGGGGCTTTTTTTTTGGTTTGGGGATTTTGTTGTTGTTTTGGGGGTTTTGGTATTTGGGGCTTTTTTTTGTTTGTTTGTTTGTCCATTTGAAATATCTATGTATGTCATCATTTTCCACTCAGTAAGCCTGGGCCAGGTGCCTTAATCCTGGTGCTGGGGAAAACACGTGACTACAACACACTCTCATGAACAGTCATAGATAGGAAGGTAGGATGGCCATAGCCTGGAAGATGCTGGAGCTCGAGTAACAAAAGCAGGAAGGGTGCAGCAGGGGGGTGCCATTCTACCCTGAAATTTAAAAGGGGGTAGCTTCCATAAGATGAGTTGGGTAAATCTTAGAGGAACCAGAAGTCTGGTCTTCTAAGGAAGTAGGATCAGACGGTGGGACAGAAGCAGCCCGTACACTGTGGATAAAGCTTGCTTGTGCCTTGTAAGTTCATGGAACTACAACTGGAGCTGTGGATGGCGGGTGAGTTCCTGGGATGTTTTCCTGAAATGAATTTTTTTACAAGTCAAGGACTTTCAAATGTTCCTTGAAGAAGCTAAGGAAACCCTTACAGGCTTAAATAAAAGATGATGCGAATTATATTTTAGACTATTTTTAATAAGGACGCTGGATAAGTCCAATGCAAATGGTGGGGTGGGATTAAATGTCTCCCACTTGGGAGATTTTTCTAGGGTGTTTTGTGCCAACCAAAAATGTAAGCATGTTCTATATTATCATCTCTGTTTCAGCTCTCCAAGTCTTATCTTCCTACAATGGTATGTCTTACTTCCCAAATACTGAAGGGCTGCACCCATGCAAATTAGTGCTCTTTTTCTAATTCATAAGGGTGTCTTGTTCCAATTCACATATTTCTTTAAGTGAGAAATAGTATAATTATAAACCAAAGTAAAGAGACTAGTAGATGCAGAGATAATTACAGTCATTCTTCATATAAAAATAATACTTGGCATATTCACAAGGAGTTATAACAAAGCATCTTGAGTGATTAAGATCCATGAGAAGTAATGGAGTCACATTCATTTTCAAATACTAGGTTTGCCCTCAGTGTTTTCAACCTGATGTTGATCCTGATGTCCTGGTTTGACTACTTGGGAAGCTCCGAGTCTTAGAATTAGCATTGGTTTTTCTTTACCCTTGATCAGTCAAACTTGGCAGAGCTCTCTGTCCCCAGAATGTGTCTCCTAGGATCATGTTGTCTTACTCTCTCCATCCCACTGCTTTTGACCCAAATCTGTATTCCTTCTCAGATGGACTCCTAAATTAAACTTTCAATCCCTCTCTCTACTTCCATTCTCATTGACTCCCAAACCATTTGTTTCTTAGGCTCAGTGAGATCACATGAAGAGTTTCGATTCTCTGGGTTGGGAGATGACTCAACAGATAACTGCCAATCCTGATGACCTGAGTTCAAATACCTGTGAACACGCACACACACACACACACAAACACACACACACACACACACACACACACAAGAGCTGAATCTCTACTTCCACATTTCATCTTTATAAGTTTCCTCTCCAAACTTACCTCTCTCTTTTTCTGATTGTTTCTGATATCCAGTCTGCCTCAGATATATTTGTGTTTCATGTCTTACCACCAAAACCCTACACACTTCCCCAAGAAGGATGCCTTGTGAGGAAGGACCTTGAAAAATGAGCTAAACAA